CCCTTATGACCAAATCATTTCCCAAAGGCTGCACCTCATATACCGTCATATTGGGGTTAGCATTTCAACATGAATTTGCAGGAAACACAAACATTCAACCCACTGTACTCCTCTCTAGTGGTACTCATCACATTCCGTGTCCTAGTCGAGAAAATTTTATATACACATCTTATCTCCTTTATTAGACTCAGTGATATGCTTCATTTTAATATGCCTCTGCTCTGTAAGACAACGTTATTTTCAGTAATATTGCAAAAACAAGGAATTGCTGTTTTCTTAATTGGTTCTTTAGTTTTAGAGCAATGAACAATTTAAGAGGAAGAACACATTGCAACTTTGAAGACACTCAAATGCATTAAGAGTATTTCCTGTAAGAACTAAAATTTTTACTTACCAAACAAAATATAGTTGAGTCTTGGAACAACACAGATTTGAATTGTGTGAGTGCAAATACACGTGGATGATTTTTTCCCCCATAAATACAGCACAGTACTGTAAATTTATTTTCTCTTCCTTATTTTTTTTTTTTTTTTTTTTAAGATTTTATTATTTGACAGAGAGAAACACAGCGAGAGAGGGAACACAAGCAGGGGGAGCGGGAGAGGGAGAAGCAGGCCTCCCGCGGAGCAGGGAGCCCGATGCGGGGCTTGAACCCAGGACACTGGGATCACGATCTGAGCCAGAGGCAGACGCTTAACAACTGAGCCACCCAGGCACCCCTCCTTATGATTTTCTTAATAACTTTTTCTTTTCTCTAGCTTACTTTCTTGTAAGAATACATATAATACATATACATGTATGTGTTAATCGACTGTTTATGTTATCAGTAAGGCTTCTGGTCAACAGTAGGCTGTTAGTTGTTAAGTTTTGGGAGAGCCAAAATTGTATGTGGATTTTAGACTATATGAGGAATCGCTGCCCCTAATCCACGCGTTGTTCAAGGGCCAACTATATTACACATCCCAGTTCATTGTAATATCTGTCTTACTGTTTTACACCGTAAACGTAATTCTAAGTGGTCACATAAGATAACAGCATGGAAGTTCTCAGGTTTTGCTTCCTTGTCTTCACAATCACTATGGTATCATCTTTGATTTTGAATTTGCTGTTTAAATGTAGGAGAATGCAGTAAGTACCACAGGGGTTGGAGACATGAAATGGTCAAAGCCAGCTGGGAGGATTCGAAACCATGACACCTGCAGTGAGCACGTCACCTAATGGGTGAGTGTCAGGGACCAACCACATAATGGGGCGTTCTCAAAATTAACATCGACGGAGAACTTCATATTTATTAAAGGATAAGTAATAGAAATGTAATCATTTGAAGGTTACATATATATTAATGAAACTCAACAGTAACCATGGCAGTTGTTTGCCACTTTGGTCAAAAAACCATTTTGAGGGTGTAGGAGGTTTATTTTTGTCACTGACATTATTGAGAATTGTGATAATGAAAAAAAGACCAACTTTTAGGAGGTTCTTTTATTGTATTTACATTCCCTCTGGAAGATGGCCTCCTTATTACTGACTTCGGGGGTACATGGCTCCCACCTCCCCACCCCTGGTCCACCCCTGATTTGACAGCTCGGGGTGGGAGTTGGGGCTGGGGGCTGGCTGGGCAGTTGTACACTGTCTATTGCCCAAATGCAGTGGTTCTGTGTGTGCGCCGAGGCCCTCGGGATGGCCTATATGTGGCCTATATATGAGGTCGATTTTCTTCATGTACTCCAAACAAAGCAACACATCACAATCCACTGAATACAGAAACAGAAGAATCCAGCCCTCTCCCATGAAGCCAGACCTTAAAGAAATCGGCAACACTTCTTTGTAAAACGATGCCACTCTTCGGACTCCCTTTTTATTGTTGATGTTTGGAAAATACCAGGCATTTCTCATAATAGTATACGTATTGACATGCGATGAGTTTGCTGTTATTTTTAAAGGCGTTAACATTTATAAAACTCTCTCGGTTTTGGTCTCTAGTATGGTAAATATGGATAGCTGTATTCCATACAAAGAAAGCTCTTTGGGGTCCTGAAGAATGTTTCGGAATGTAATGGCTTCCTGAGACCAAGAAGCTTGAGAGCCGCTGAGTTCATGGCCTGCCTTAGACACATGGCGCATCCTGGCGCACAGTGGCTGAATGAGTGAGGGACTGGGTGGGTGCGTGTCAGCGGCAGCTGGGATGGGAGGGGGGGAGGGGCGGAGGCAGTGGTGGACACCTGGGGGGTGGGGTTGCTGGGGGCTGGGCGCGGCAGCTTCCGGTTGAGAGCAGTGTTGGCTGTCATGGCAACACCAGTGGGGTGGGTCTGGGCCTCAAGCAGTGAGGTCTGGGGATGAGGGTGTCCTGGGGTCTTCAGGAGGCTCCACATATCCTGTTCCCCTTGATGCTGACAGATTGGAACAACCACCCCGATCTGTCTTTCTGGATGGGACCTGAGCGGAATTGTTTTCGAGGGGCCTCTGGCTGTCCACTCACTGGGAGCGAGCACAGTGGAAAGAGAGGCCCGGAGCCTCAGCCAGACAGATCGAACTCTCCTTGCTTCTCCCTGCTCTGCTCTGAACAGCCATGGGACCCAAATGCTGGCTGACTCTCCGCTATGGCGAGGACAGGCTAACATCCGGCACATACTGGGCGCATAGTACCTTCGTGGGTCCATGAGTCAAGTCATTCAAAAACACAAAAAGAGGCTGGGAGGGGTGGGGTTAAGGAAGAAAGGTCCTTGGGGGAGTTCTTCCTGGCCCATGGCTAGTGACAGTGGGAGCTTGGTATGGACCAGAGTCTCCCAACACTCGACCCACTATGGACACTTTGCCCTGGTTGACTTGTTGTAGGGACTGCCACGTGCATTGTAGAATGTTTAGCAGCATCCCTGGCCTCTGCCCACCACATGCCAATAGCACTCTCTCCCCAACTGTGACAATTACACATGTCTCTGGACATTGCCAAATGTCCCCTGGGGGACAGTTTTGCCCCTGGTTGAGGACCGCCAGTCTAGATACCCGTCTGACAAGGCCTCCACGGCGGGCGCTTGCTTGCAGCCAGTCTTGGAAGGCGCCCCAGCATCATACGCACAGATCTGGCTCACTCCTTGCAGGAAGAATTCTGCCAAGGGATTCTGCTCTCAAGGGAACAAGAGACCTCCCGACTCTGATCCTTTCCCCCGAAGGACCCTCCTGCTAGCCGCGGCTGCTTCCCTCGGCTTTTGGACAAACCAGGCCCTGGGACAGCCGTAGCTGACCAACACAAGACCCGTTGAAGGAAGTCTGGACAATGCCCAGCAGCCTGGGGGAGGCCGTCCTGCCCTGCAGCCTCCAGCCACCGCGTCTCCACTAACAAACACTCTGGGCCAATCGACAGCACCATGGATAAACGGAGGGAGGTATATTCACAGGACGGAGTGCTTCTGCCACCAGAATGAATGAGTCACCACCACATACACGTGCCCCGGATGAAGCTCACCAGTGTAATGTCGAGTGAAAGAAGCCAGAGGCAAAGGAGCACAGGCTTTATGCTTTCATTAACGAAAAGTTCCCCTCAAGGCAAAATAATCTATGTTAAGGCTCAAGGAGTACACCAAGGAAGCTTCTCGGATGCAGGTTCCGACTACGAAGAAAATTCACTGGGCAGTTAAGATACAGGCACTTTTCTTGATATATATCATACTTTGATAGAAAATAAGCAAACAGGGGCGCCTGGGTGGCTCAGTTGGTTAAGCGACTGCCTTCGGCTCAGGTCATGATCCTGGAGTCCCGGGATCGAGTCCCGCATCGGGCTCCCTGCTCGGCGGGGAGTCTGCTTCTCCCTCTGACCCTCCTCCCTCTCATGCTGTCTCATTCTCGCTCTCAAATAAATAAAATCTTTAAAAAAAAAAATAAGCAAACAAAAACAACATTCTGGACCAAAGGTCAGGACAGGTCCTTCAGCAAAATCCTCGTCTACCCAGGGAATAAAAATCATCAGCAATTTTGCCTGTTTGGCTCTAAATTCTTATTGTCATTTTTGGACCTGACTTCATACACAGGATGATGTATGCAAAATAATGAGCACATGTTCGGCACAGATAATGCTCAGTATATGGTAAATAATTAATACTACAATCAGTTATTAACCGGCTTACGATATAAAATAATACTAAAATAAAAAAAATTTTTTAAAGGGGAAACAAGGTTCTGGAATTTGCAGGGATATTGGTTACTAAATTCCTCACTCTCAAGGCTTTTGGAGCTCCTTCTAAGCATAGTCTTTGAGGAAAGAAAAATCTAAAGCTTCTACCTTAGAGTTACTAGCTCTTGACCAGCACACACAAAAAAGTCCCAAATACCTGTCTATTTGGTCACATTGTTCAGTGTACTTCATACCTGTCACTTATTGATCCAATGCTCTGTTTAGCCAGGAACCGGGAATCCACCTACCTGATCAAACATTTGGATCTGTCTTTGGCCATCAATCTAGTTTATGAATTTACAGATCAAACAGGTGTGACTGCTGTTGGATTCCTCAGTCTCACAGTAAACCTTTGGCAGAAAAAAATGAAGTCCAGAAAATCTGCAACGCTGTCTCTCCTTTAGACCAGACTGGAAACAGGACCCTACAAATCCCTCTCTCCTCCCAGAGAGCCGACAATCAGACAACCTCAGCGAGACGGAGCATTTCGTTGCAAACTATGCTCCCCAGCCACAAATTAGATGCCAAGTTAGCGCTCAGGAAGATCCAAAACTCTTTCAGATCATTCTCCATCCAAGTCTTTGCTTGACTAATTCTGAATCAGACATGGGAGAGACTTCAGTGTAAGCTGCGAGTGCGTTTAGACTTCTACCCCCAGAAAGATCTCCTAAAATTTCAATCTTGCACAAATGGCAGCTTGTCCTGTGACCTGTGACTCCACTAAGAACCAAGCTCTGTCCCACACCATCAAGAACCACTTGGATTCATCGCAAAGACAGACATTTAAAAAAGAAAATCCATGCCCATCTCCGCATAAAAGGCAAGCTCTTACCTAGTCCCAGGCTTTGTCCATGGGCACTTGATTGGATAAAGACGCACAAAACCAAGAAAATAGAGACACACGGGGGACTTTCCATTTCTCCTGTCTCACCCGGGGTCCGAGGTCTTCTTGCTAATTTCTGAAGTTAAAGAGACCAGATTGCCTATTGGTACTTTGTTGGGGACGCCTGCTCATTAATAATTAACCTTTAGCCATGGTATCCAGTGTTCGCTTCTCTGACTAGACCCCAACCCCAGGTCTAACTATTTCGAATACAACAAAGGTTGATGTACAAAAGCTCTTTTTAAGTCCTGATAGATTTTGAAAATAAAATATCTTGTCATATATTCTTACCTTCTTGGGCCAAATTAATTAATTTAAAGTTAATGTGTTGGGAAATTCTGTCAAAGGTCAGGGGTTGCCTCGCTCTCCCTCTGTCATCACTGCGTTGGGGATGTTGGCTCATGGCAGAGGTATTTCAAATTGCAGGCTAAGCACAAAGAAAAAGAAAAGGGCTCTGGGACGCAGAGAGCTACCAGAGGGTCCATTTTCTGTTGGGTTTAGCAAAATTGCTGGTGCCTGAAGTTAAAGAGTGGTGGGACGATGTTTCTATAGCTGAAAGAGACAGAAAACCTCTAACGTCAGTGTAGGAAGGAGCAAAGATGCAGGACTGGATGCCTTTGCTGGGGGCCCCTTTGGGAGATGACCCTAGAATAAACTCTCCTCCTCTGTGCTAATTAATGCTCCCACTGTGTAGAGGACTGAGAAGTCAGGCCACTCAGCAAAACCAGGCAGGGGAGATGTTCCTGTGTGCAACTCTCATGATATTCTTTGGGTCTCTAGTTTTATTTAAACTTTCTTTGTTCAACTTTTTTTTTTTTTTTTGCATACCTACTATATGCCAGGCCCTATTTTAGGCACTTGGGACATTCAAGCGAACAAAACAGATGAACGTTCCTGTCTTTGTGAAGCTTATGTACCATCGGGGGTGGGAGGACTCAGATGATAGACAATAGACATAATAAATCAGAGATTTATAGAGATTGTAGAATACAGTGAAAGTTATGGAAAAAGAAAGTATAGCAGAATTACGGGGGTGGGGGATGTAGTGATTTTTTTAAAAAAATTTTAAAGATTTTATTTATTTGAGAGAGAGAGCACGAGCGGGGTGAGGGGCAGAGCGAGAAGCAGATTCCTGGCTGAGCAGGGAGCCCAACACGGGGCTTGATCTCGGAATTCCGGGATCATGACCTGAGCCAAAGGCAGATGCTTCACCAACTGAGCAACCCAGGTGCCCCGAGGTTCAGATTTTAAATGGAATGGTCAGAGTGAGCCTTTTTGGGAAGTTGAACTTTAAATGAGGGTTTCGGTAAGTAGCTTCTGTGGACATATTGGGACAGAGTAGCCAGTGCAAAGGCCCTGAGGTAAGAGTGTGCCTGGTATGTTCCAGGAACAACAAAGAGACACCCTTATAAAGACTTTGACTTTTATGATCTGAGACATAGGGAACCATTCTGAGCAGAAGAGTGACGTGATTTTATATTATTTAAAAAAAAATCATTTTGGTTTTCGAGGCTAGGAACAGATTATAAATGAGCAAGAGTGCAAGTGGGGGAGAATGTGAGGAGGTCATGGCAGTGATCAGTGAGAAGTGATGGGGGCTTGCTTCAGCGTGGTAATAGTGGAATTGGGAAGTGGTGGATGTGTTGGATATATTTGGAAGGTGGGTGCAACAGGATTTCCCGACTACTGGAAAGTGAGAGGCAAGGCAAAGAGATGCGTTGAGGATGACTTCAAGGACTTTGGCTCGAGCAAGTGGACAATGGGGTTGATAACAGCTGAGGTGGGGAAGGCTGTGAGTGGAGCAGTTTTGGTGGAGGAAGATGATGCAATCAGCTTTGGCCCTGTGGCCTTTGAGATGCCTCTCGGACAGTCAACTGGAAATGTGGAGCAGGCAGTTAGATAACTTGGGGGTTCTGCTCTGCCAATTAACTCAGCAAGATACCAGTGAATCCAAGCAGCTCTGGAATGCCAAGACCGCTCCCTCCCAAATTTCTGCAGAGTACACTCTCTTACCACTTTCTACATGGGAAGAGGTCTTCAAAGTTCTAGCTCTCAAAAGTCCTGGCTTCACCAAGAATTTCTCTACTATCATCTCAAGCCAGTTTGTTTTGTGAGGCTCTCCTGGGCCGGGATAGGAGGAGAGATGTTGGTTTCCTTTCAGGGGTGCTGTCTGCTCCCATCTGCCCAAGCTCTGCCTGCCTGGCCCATCACCTTTCTGTGGTGGTTTTAATGCACCAGCTCTGTTGTGTTTCCTTGAAGCTAGCCAGGGAGACTCCTGGCAGGGAAAAGAGGAGGACTTCACAGAGAATGAGGTTTCTAGGGCCTGAGGATGCTGGGTCTACCATCTACTAGCTGAGCGAAATCTAACTTAACCTTAACAAGCCGCATCTCCTCCCCTGTAAAATGGGATAACATGAGCCAGAGATAAGATTCTGAAATACCCACTTACTATTATTTTTCTCCTGACATCTCTCTCCCTTGCTCTTCCTCCCTCTTAAGAAGGGCAATTCTAGGGCGCGTGGGTGGCTCAGTTGGTTAAGCGACTGCCTTCGGCTCAGGTCATGATCCTGGAGTCTCGGGATTGAGTCCCGCATCGGGCTCCCTGCTCAGCGGGGGGTCTGCTTCTCCCTCTGACCTGCTTCCCTCTCGTGCTCTCTGTCTCTCATTCTCTCTCTCAAATAAATAAATAAAATCTTAAAAAAAAAAAAAAAAGAAGGGCAATTCTACAAATCTTTCGTTTTCCCAAAACTTGGCTTCCCAGAAACCCTGCTGGAAGATGGTAAGAACCCGAAGACGATAGGGCTGTGTGGTGTTGGCAGATGAGCGAAAGATGCCCCCGTGCCTGGCATGAGGTACGAGCAGCAGTGAGCTCCAGGGCTACCAGCTCCTGTAAGATGGGGAGGACAGGCCCCTCAGTGGCCACTTGTGTGGATGGGTGACAGAGAACCAGGTGCCACCCTCACCCCCAGGCCTGGCGGTTGTGTCTGATCCAGAACTATGGCATAATGGGGTGCGGATGGAAAGGAGAAATCCAGAGGGCCTGAAAAACACGAGTTTGGAGTCAATAATTCCGATGGCTTACAGAAAATAGAGACAGGTCTTGTACACCAGAATTTTCAGACTGAGATCCATCCCTGTACAAAAGCAGATATGTCATAGTATTCGAGATTTGCATGTGAAGTGCCCAGCCATGTGCCTGGTTCATACTTGAAATTCAGCTCATGTAGTGACTTATTTTGGAGGCAACATGCTCAGTGGTCAAAAGTCGAAGCTTTGGAATGAGAGAGCTCTAGGTTCAAATCCCTGGCCTATCACTTTCTAACGGGGTGACCTAGGCAAGATGTGAGTGTTCGGAGCTTTAACTGTTGTCCTTCATTGTACAGGGACTGCAAATGCCTTCCTGATCGGATTAGAGGGGGTCACGGAAAGAGGTGAAGCAATGTTGGCCAGTAGGAAATGATAAATGACCGCTATTATTATTGCTGACTTGTTTTTAATTTACCTAGGGAATCAAGAGGGTCTCCAGGAGATAGATAACAGCAGGACCACAGTGATGAAGTGAGAAGGGTAGGAAAACAGAAGGGTCTGGACCAGTGGCTCTGAAATCTGAGCACTGGAATCAGAGTTAGCCCCAGAGCTTGGGGAGAGGACGGGTTTGAGGCCCATCCCAAGAGCAATCCAATTAAAGCTTCTGGGGCTGAGGTCCGAAGAACCTTCGTTCTAAAGTTCTCCAGGCTGTTCTTTGTCACACGAAGTTTGAACCGTTGCCTCCAACTGGTGCTTGTGAGGTCTATCAGGGCACAGGAAGGAGATAATAGGCCTTTCAGATGTCTTTATATCTCCTGTTCTAGGCTGATTATTGGTACCCCTCTAAAATTCATACGTTAAAAGCATAACTCCCAAGGTGATGGTATTAGAGGTGTGGCCTTTAGGAGGTGATTAGGTCCCAAGGGCAAGCCCTCACGAGTGGTGGGAGTGTCCTTATAAAAGAGACCCCAGGGCGCCTGGGTGGCTCAGATGGTTAAGCGTCTGCTTTCGGCTCAGGTCATGATCCCAGGGTCCTGGGATCAAGTCCCACATCGGGCTCCCGGCTCAGCGGGGAGCCTGCTTCTCCCTCTGACCCTTGCCCCTCTCATGCTGTTTCTCTCTCGCTCTCTAAAAAATAAATAAAATCTTAAAAAAAAAAAAAAAAAAGAGACCCCACACAGATCCCTTGCTGCTTTGCTCCTACAAGGTTACAGTGAGAACATGGCCATCTATGAGGACCTCCCCAGACGCTGCATCTGCCGGTCCCTTGATCTTGGACTCCCAGCCTTCTGTTGTTTATAAATTTCTGTTATTTACCCAGTCTGTGATAATCTATTATAGCAGCCCAGGTGGACTAAGGTATCACCTTAGAAAATTTTGTGTGTATATATAATGTTTATAATACATTCATACTATATAATTAGAATATACACTATGGAATATATTGGTGATATATAATTTACAAGCATATAACTACCCATATATTTGGTGGGGTGGAGTATTAAAGGTTTTTTTGTTTGTTTGTTTTGTTTGTTTTTAGAGACGGAGAGTGCACGTGCGGGGGTGAGGGGCAGAGGCAGAGGGAGAGAGAGAATCTTAAGCAGGCTCTACACTCAGTGTGGAGCCTGACACAGGGCTCGATCTTACAACCCTGAGATCATGACATGAGCTGAAATCGAGAGTCAGACGCTTCACCTACTGAGCCACCCAAGAACCCCAAAGTTTTTTTAAACTGATAAAGGTGAACCATCGAAAAGGTGTGAAGACTCTACTGTAGAGGGATAAAGTGGTTCCCAGGCCTTAATGACCTAACTGAAATGTGGTTGACTCCATCAATACATTGGAAAAGTCAGTAGATTGATTAGTGGAATCTGTAGTCACTTCCATGCTGAAGAAAGCCCAGCAGTTTATGGGGGAATCTTCATTTCCCATGAACTGAAAAGGGGGCAGGCCTGAGCCCCATGGAGGCTGGAGCCTCCTGCAGAGTAATCAGCACTGTCTGTAATCCTCGGTCTAAAATAATAATGGTTTTATAATTAGATTCTTAAA